CATGCTGGCTGGGGAATTCTGGGAGTTGAAATCCACCCATCTTAAGTCGCTGAGGTTGACAAACATTGGTGTAGGTATTTAAAGAACGGAGGGGCAACACGGAACAATGCAAAACATGACTAAGTCTCTGGCACCATCCTTTGTAACCAGCCACGCAGGTGGAAGCTGAGCGTTGAGCCAGTTTAGGAAGACAGAAGGACAATGGCAGTCTTGCTGTATGAGGCAGTCATCCAGATTCAAAAGGGAAAGGCACTCTGAGCGTGTGGGATATTCACATAAATCCCGGCCAGCAGCTCCTTTAAACCCTTAAAGCTGCATCATTTTAGTTTCTAAAAGCAGAAACCAGGAATCCCCTCCCCGCCCCAAACACTGTGACTTTCATATTTCCAGAAAGTTTAGATCTTTAATATCCTCACCGATCCCCCCACTTGTGCTCAATTGCACCCTTACTTGACTGCCAGCGATGGCAAAGTCTCAGGCCCAGGAAGGACCTTTTTCTCATCTGTTTCTTGTTATTTTAACTACCGTAGAGATCTTTGGATGGAATGGAGTATTTTGTGTGCAGAATATATGCTGTATCTGTTCTCCAGCGCTCTTCCCCAGAATAAGGAGGCAAAACGATTGACCGTGTGGACAAGCATAGTTGGGGTTCAAGCAGATTTCATGAATTTCTAAATAATGATTATCAGCACAGCAATACTCAGATCAATTTCACGAAATAAGATTCTTGAGGCTGCATTCCAATATGCCTTAATCAAGTATATTAAATCCTTGTTCTTTTTTTTTTTTCATCTGTTTCATGTAAAATATACCTTGAAACATAAATGAAGCATTCCACTGATATTACCAAGAATTACCATGTGAACTAGTTAGATCAGAGAAGCATCATTTATTCTGTTTTTTCCTTAGAAAAAAGAAAAAAAGAAAAAGACCAAAGAAGAGGAAATATAAACATGTACCCACAAATCCCATTGTTGTTCATGAGGGGAAAAAGTCAACATTTTCCATACATTTATATAAAATAAAATAGATCATTACCACCGGTACAGTGACAGCAATTGAGCAATTGCTAGCCATGGCCAAGGCTCTAATTTCCCCAGGCAGTTAATTTGATCAACCCGGTGAACTGAACCTAAATTTCCAGATGGCACAAACCGTTTATACCAAGGAGCCACAAGAGGGCAGAAATACCTCTCGTGGGCCTTTCTGATATTTTATCTGTTTACATCCATGAAGATCTCATTTTAGTTTCATGAAAATAGGAGGATTAGATTTTTTTTTAAAAAGTGGTATGCTGAACTTACTCCAAATCTCTCATTGTCAATGCCTCCTCCATTTCAAATGCAAAGACAATTTTTCTAGACCGAAAACCATTCTCTTTTCCAGCTAGGAAATTAATTAGAATACATTCTGCTGAAAACACTGAAACTGTGCAGTTTTGCAACATGAAATAAAAATCATAGTAATAGTAACATTTTTTAAAATGTAAACACAGCCCCTACTGAAAATAAGCAGAATCCAGTGAATGTCACAATAGCTGGGGGAGGAGGGGACCTTGTAAATCAGATCAAGAATGAAAACTGGCCTATCTTCCCGCTCGCATCCTAGTTTATACCTTTTGTTGTGGACTAATTAAGTACGCTAACTGAAATGCTACTGCTGAATCTGATCCTAAAAGCACACGTGGAGAAACCTCGTGTTCTGAACGATGGAGCTCCTTAACTCACTTCAGCTTCCGACTGGCACAAGAGGCATTAAGAAAGCGTGGTGCGGACGAACTCACATGATCTGAAGGGAGCAGCCAGGGACCGTCAGGATCTTGAGGTGCTTGATGTGGGACTTGGAGACGTGGCTCTCAAAGTATCTGCAGGGGCACCGGTAAGTCAGGCTGATGGGTTTCCCTGCAGGGCAGCACAAGAGAGAGGCCTTCAGATACCCAGCCTGATATTACCCCAGAGTACAAATAATTCCAGGCTTTAATTCTTGTTTGTGGTTTTTAGAAGACAAAAGTGGGGTGAGAAACTGGAACATGCATCTGCGGATTTTTAAAAGAGGCCAGCTAATTGTCCCAAGTGACTGGCGGCAATTATGCAAGATAAAGGCTAGAACTGAAAGGCACTTGGCCTCCACAGTGTTATTCCTGCTAAATAATTTGACCCGAGGCCAAATGAAAAGGCAGACAAGAAAGAAATCTCACAGCTACACAAAGCCGAATGCAACCCCCTCCCCATATGCACTGCCACCCCGGGCAGGAGAAAGGGGCTAGCGGGGCATTTCAGACTGAAGTGGTGCTCTGAGTTTGACGATTAAGTTTGCAGCCACAAAAACAATCTTATCGCAATTACGGGCTGCAAACTCCGCTGCAGTTCCAGGGCAGTTCAGCTCGCTGTCAATTAGTTTTAGGCAGAGCTGTAAACCGTTTGAAGTTTCCATCCCTTTTTCTCCCTTGCATGTAGTGCTGGTAGAGGAAGCCTAAAGATCGCAAATCCTGTTTCAGGAATCACAATCAAAGATGATGGTGGATAGTATTACAAGCCGGTTTCTTTGAACAAGTTATCATTAGAAGCTGCTTCTTCACTCCTGCAAGCCTTGGAGGTGGTTTCCTCCCTGGTGCCTCGTGGCAGACCAAGGAGATAACAGGTCCCTTTATCACAGCCAGAAAACCTAGCTCATTTTAAGGTCAAATGAAGGAGGAAGGAGTGAATGAATTCTTTCTTACAGCCCAAAGCTACCAGCAGCACAAAGCAGCCCAGAAGAACAGAATGCCTTGGCAATAATACAAGACATAATGAAACAGTAACATAAAAGCAACAGATTATATACTGCAACCAGAAAGCGAGAGAGATTGTGGAGTTTGCTAGTGTCCCCTCATCATCTACGGCTGCACGCAACATGCCGCTGTGCAAAACGTTGCTACAGTGTAGGAAGCAGCAGGCCGCCTATCCGCAAGTAAGTGTCAAGGGTGCCTGCTGGGGAAGCGCGTGACATAATGTCATTGCGTAGATAACACAAATTAGACTGTCCAGATCATCTGCACATCGATATCATGAAACGTGTTATATCATGATGGATTGTACTGGACACCTATGAAGGAATTCACCAGGGTGCCCTGGAACATTTATTAAGAGGGGCATAGTAAGTTTACTGTATAGATACCTATAAGATGCACAGTACATTTCTCACGAAGGACATTTTCTGGCCCGAATTGTTTTCCCAAAGGCAGGAGGAGGAGGAGGAAAAGAATAACAAGAAGCTTTGTTTCCAAAACTTTAACCATCCTGGTAACTCTCCTCTAAACCTGTTCCATGAACAAATGGTATGATGCAGTTTAAAAAGCCAGTGCTGTGTTGTGCTATATTAAGAGACGTGCTGGCCCCAAATCACGGGAGAACCATTCCATTGTACTCTGGTTTAAATAGCACTTGGAATATTGTGTCCAGTTCTAGGCACCCCTCTTTAAAAGGAGATAGAGCACATGGAACAGGTTTGAAGAAACCCTCTCTGAGTGATAAAGGGTCTGGGTGTGTTTAATTTGCAAAAAAAAGAAAAGAAAAAGAAAGCAGAGATCTACAATTATCTAAAAGGCTGTCATATGCAAGAGGGGGAGGATCGGTTGTATGCTGAAACCGGTGGCAGGACAAGCACCAATGCGTTGAAATTCAAAGAAGAGACACTCAGGCTGAGGAATTTAGGAGGAATTATTAGGTCTCCCCAATCAAAAACAAATGTTGAGCATCAGCCTGTTGGATTTGGCCCAATGTTCAAGCTTGCCAAGGTCATTTTGAATTGTGATTTTCCCCTCTAAGGTATTAGACAACCCCCTCTAGCTGGCAATCATCTGCAAATTTGATAAGCACCCTTCTTGTTCCATCCAATATAAATATGTTAAATAGAACTTGGCAAAGGATCGGCCCACCTGATGCTTTCTTCCAAGTTCCATACTCCTTGGGTATGGTTGTTCAACCAGATGCAACTCCACCATGTCACAGGACTATCTAGTCTACATTTATTCATCTTGGACACAAGATCACGAAAAACTTGTCAAACTCTTTAATGAGATCAAGGCATGCTAAATCCCTTGTTCCCTGGGTCTACCAAACTCTGAATTAAAAAAAGAGATAAGGTTAGCCTGGCACAACTTGTGATAAACCTACACCAACTCCTAATGGTAGCATTCTTTTCTAAGTTTTGGCAGACATACTGCTCTGTTCTAGCAGCTTGTCCAACTTAATTGGTCTGTAGCTTCAATTTTCAAAGACTGCAACCAATGGCTTCAAGGTCACCCACCCCAGCCAACTCCTTCTACCTCCTGGGAGCCAATGTGGTAGGGGGTAAAGGTGCTGGACTAGGAGCAGAGAGACCCAGGCTTTTGTCTACCACCAGCCATGGATGACTTTCAGCTAGAACCTGTTAGCCCAACCTACCTTACAGGGCTATTATGGGGGAAAATGGGAGGAGGGAGCACTGTATATGCTGCCTTGAGCTCCTCTACAAAAGGCGGGCTCCAAATAAATAAACCTGTTTGGTTTGGAGAGATGAATTTGCTTAAGCGAGCAAGGTGGATTCTTACAATACCTTGATCCATCTTGAGCTGTATTTTTCCCTTTTTCAATCATGCCGGGAAGGATTCCCTCTTCCAAGAAAAAAAATAGATGCAAATAAAGTGTTAAGCAGTTCTGTCTTTTCTATTTTATTTTCCCACCTCTTCTACACCAAAGACCAACAAACCCCCTTGACTCTTCTTTTATTTCAGACTTTGCCCCAAACCCTTCTTATAGCCAAAAAACCTCACCTCATTCTGAGCTTTCTGACTCCATCCCCGTCTGGCACTGCGAGTTTAACCTCTCCTAGTTATTAGTCCTTGCTTCTATTTCCTGTACTTTCTTCTTGTTACAATTAATTTATTTAAATATAATGTGAATTGTGCAAGGAATGAAGGGAAAAATGTAAAAGACCATAACTGATCATATCAAATCTAGCATTTTTACATTAAAAAGTCAGTATAAAGACGTGAATTGGCTACTGCAAGGGTGCATGTGGGTTAGCAATGCTCTGGGTTCGAAGGTCCATGGCTCAACTCATGGAATATATATGGAGAGGTAATTTTAACTGATGCCCTTTACTCTGCTGCCCACAGGCACCCCACCTCTCAAAAACCTGCTCCGGGGGTTAGCGGAGCAAGACCAAAAAATGTGGTACGGAGGAAAGAACTGACCAAGCACAGTAGCCTCTTTTCCTCTCCCTTCCCCTCACCATCACAAATGAAGGATTTCATTTCATCTGCATTCAGCGCACTGATCTCTGAACTGAATTATTTTTAAAACCACGGAGAAGCATTTATTGTCCATCTAGGTGGAAAAAAAATGTATTCTCCCAATTCGTTCTCTCATGCAACTTAACGACATGCAAACAGTTTTTAAAACATGGAAGAATTTAGCCTTTGGATCTGGTGAAAACATTAAGCAGATTACCAACAGAAAATAATGATCATCTGGAGGCCGATATTTATGCAAATCTTACTTAAATCTCCCCTCAAAAGCACTCTCCTCTTTATAGCCCCAAGGGACTCAAGAACTCACATTATGCTAAGTCTTTTCCACACTTTTCCACAAGCATGATGCCCATTCTCTTCAAAGACAAGCACCTGGCTGAGCTCTTCACAAAAAAACATGGATTTATTTATTTATTTATTTATTTATTTATTTATTTATTACAAGGAACAGTGGTGCTTAATCTTCTTTTCTGACTAACAGATCATCATTCAGCTATTTTTCTTAATGCCTCAGAAAAGAAAAGCTCCTTCGGAAAAAATGCATAGAGAGAAGAATGGTTTGCACATTGTCAGGAAAGGTCTGAATAGAAGGAGGTAAGCATATGCAGCTAATCATGGTTACAGTCTCCACAGGATTGGAAACCCTGTACAATCAGGATTCCTAATTTTGCAGATTAGAAACCTAATCAGATCTTCAACACAGGACAGGGGGAAGGGAAGGGAAGGGAAGAGGGGAGGGGAGGGGAGGGCAGGGAAAGAGAGTGTGTATAAATGCTGCATCTGTTTGTGACCTACTGAAGCAGATCTATTGGCGGGATCACATACAGTTGTGGTATATGCTCTTCTACGCGTTCAGAAACACCTTGTACTGAATCTAATCTGAAGCGCTGCGCAGCCCTGGTGCTTAGGCTTCTCTCTCTCTCCATGGCTATTAGTAGCTGGAGGTGGGGGATGATTTGGGGGACAGGATGAAGATAAAGTATTAGATTCCTCTCCAGTGTAGCAGTTTCAGCGCAGGCTGTACTTCTGCAGTTGCTTTCAGCAAAAGAAAAAAGGACATTAAAATCTATTCACCAATACTTTTTTTTTTTTGCTCATATGTAACATAACATTGAAAGTTGAATGGTTCTTTTTAAGATTGAAAGTTTTATGATGTAAACCACCATCTGCAGACTGAAGTGGGTTATACTATCCCTGTAATTAGTATGCCTCTGCTGTTCAGTCTTGCGCTTTTTACCTCCACTTTGTTAGAGGGTGAGACACAAGCGACCTCTTGCGCAACTGAGCCAATATAAAGCAAGGAAACTCCGAAGGTGAGTGTCTGGAAGGGCATCTTTCATGCTTCCTCTGTGCAATCAAAAGGAGTACATCTGCTTTCTATGACGGAAGCTTTCGTATCCACCAGTCTACAAAGGTTAGACCTAAAATCCAGAACTGATTGATCCTCCATATTAGACCACAAATTTAATTCGTCCTAATAAAAATATTTTCTCTTAAACATCTAAAAGCTCTCCTCAACTTTTTGCAGATCTAAGTTGAATCTCAAGCTGTGGCCTGTTGGTGGCATTTCTTGAGGGCACGTATGGAAAATTCTGGGGGAATAATATGGAACAAGGAACCACTTAGCAAAGAGTGTACATCTTCAAAATAACTTAATCCTGATTTTAAC